AAAGTGTCCCTTTGGAAATTCGACCAGGAGAACAGTTCAATTGCTCGCTATGACGTGTGCTCACCACCAGGGGATGGCACGGAACATGGCGGGCGACCAGCGGTGGCAGCGGGGTGCTGAAGGAACGAGGGAAGGAGGAGGTTTGGAGGCGGGGAGGGGGGGACCACGCAGTGGCGGGGGGCAACGCAGGGGGCTAGGGAAGGGGAAGGCGGGGAGGCGGGGGGGCAGGGAACCTGATTGGCCCTGATGGCCGGCCAGGCTTAGAGGCCCTACTTGTGCACATTTTTCCTGCACCAGGCCTCTAGTCTTATATAATAAAAGTGTAGCATGCAAATTGTCCCCTCGGCCGAAGTTCTTCTGGGAGTTTGATCAGGCGGCAGGCAGCTGGGGAAAGGGAGGGAGGTCCTGGACAGCTGCAGTGGCAGGCGGCTGGGGGAATGACGGGAGGCCCTGGCCAGCAGTCAGCAACCAGCAGCCGCTAAGGACCCTACTCGTACATGAATTTCATACACTGGGCCTCTAGTTAATAGTAAATGTCACTGTATATATCCCTCTTGGCATCTGCTTCCTAGAGAAACCAAACTGACAAAGAATGAACGGGCAATTTACTAAAAAAAACAAGCAAACAAACAAACAAAACTCTCAGTGTAAGTATACAAAGATACGTATGCAAATGAAACTAAACAACTTTCTTACACAATATACAAAAATAAACTCAAAATGGATTAAAGACTTAAATGTAAGACCTGAAATCACTCCTAGAAGAAAACATAGGCAATAAACTCTTTAACAGCAGTCTTAGCAATATTTTGGGGGATATAGATCTCCTTGGGCAAAGCAACGAACCAAAAATAAAAAAGGGAACTACATAAAACTAAAAAGCTTTTACACAGTGAAGGAAACCATTAACAAGATTAAAAGGCAATCTAATGAATGGTAGAAAATATTTGAAGATGATATATCCAATAAGGGATTAATATCCAAATGTATATAAAGAACTCTTACAACTCAACATTAAAAGAACACAATCCAATTAAAAATTTGGCAAAGAATTTGAATAAACATTTCTCCAAAGAAAACATATAAATGACCAAGAGACACTTGAAAAAAATGCTCAACATCACTAATCATCAGAGAAATGCAAGGCAAAACCACAAAGAGATATCACCTCACACTTGCCAG